CTAGTTTTCCCTTCTTTATATATAAGCCCCTCCTCAATCCAATACTCAATTAACTCCTCCTTTCTGATTTCATAATCTTCAGGATACAATGCACAACATAAAAAACACTCCTGGCATTGTTGTTCTAGGCATTCATAACTGAATTTCAAACAATCAATAATGCCTTCAAATTTATTAAATTCAGAAAGTGCCAACTTCCAATGACGAGGAAGTAATTTCCCTTTCATGGATTTTGCCACTGTCACAATAGCAAGGGGTACTCCATCACATTTCTGCAAAATTTGCTTCAAAAATGGCTCTATATCTCTTTTAATTTTGCCATCTGAAAACACATCACTTCCAATTTTCTCCGAGAATAATTCTAATGCTTCTTCAGGTCGAAAAGGGTTCACATGGATCACATTACAATCCATTGCACGAGCAACATCTTTTGACCGTGTCGTGAGCACTAACTTGCAACCATTATTTCCAACTGGATTAGAAATTCCAACATCTTCTAGAGAAAAAGGCTGCCACACATCATCCAGAATTAGCAGGAAGCTGCCCTGCCCCAACCTTTGTGAAATCAATGCAGCAAGCTTGGTTTCATTCTCATTCTCATGATTTGGATCTCGTTTTAGTTTCAAGCTACTTGCAATCTTTTTCTGAAACTGCAGAATATCAAACTTCTTTTTTTGCTGGACAGTAATGTTAAAGTCTTTTGACACTGTTACCCAAATAACATTATCAAATTTGGATTCAATCAACAGTTGGTTGTGGACATTCTTCATAATTGTTGTCTTGCCCACACCACCCATTCCCGAAACTGCAATTCTTGTAACCTTGTCTCCCTTCAACCATTCCAGAATTTTTTCTTGTATATCATCCCTGCCACTACATTTTTCAACGGGAAGTGGAAATCCTTTGATTAAGTGATCATCTCTGACCAAACTCTCACCAGCATTAGTATATTTTTCTCCTTGCTCAAATATTTGCTTCAATTCTTCAATTTTTCTCCTGAGGTTGGATAGAGAGGAGCATCCCCCTTGGTTGATTAGATCTTCAACCTTTATGGGAATTTGTTGGCCTACTTTCTTCAACCAGTCTTTAACTTCCATGCTTGCAATCTTTCCAGGCTGCATAAGTTGAGTCTCCAATTTTCCTTCAATGTCTTTCTGTCGGAGCTTCAGCTGCTCTTGCCTTTCTTCAAATACAGTTGCCCAATACTCAGTTGAGGGAGTATCTACGACCAAACTCTCATCAGCACTAGTGTACTTTTCTCCTTGCTTAAATATTCCTTCAGTCAGTGATTGAGTCCTTTTAACGAGCTTTCTTGAGGAGCAAATATATGTGAAACAGCCCCCTTTGCAGATTAGATCTCCAACCACTTTTTCTGCAGTTTCTTGGTCTGCTTTCTCTAGCCAAGCTTCAACTTCCTCCTTTGCAATCTTCCCAGGCTGCGTAAGCTGAGCATGCAGTCCTTTTTCAACGTCTTGCCGTCGGAGCTTCAGCTGTGTTTGCATTTCTTTGAATTCATTGACATAATCATTGTGACATATCTGATACTTGAAATATTTCTTAACTGTAGGTACAACATCCTTCACAATATTCACGACTGGTTCTATGACGTCCATTAAAGAGTTCCTGCATGCATATATGAAATTGTTGGATATAAGCTAATAATAATTGTGCCTTAAAACTTAAGTGAAACAAGGATAAGAATAAAAGGATTTAGGAGAAATTAATAGTGGAAGTATCATGAATGACTAATTTAAAGTATTTAGTTTTTATAAATTTAGTAAT